TAGTAAGGCCCTGTCTCAATAAATAAAAAGGGCAGGCCTGGGATGTGGCTCAAGTGGTAGCGCGCTCACCTGGCATAGGGGAGGCACTGGGTTCAATCCTCAACACCACATAAAAATGAAATAAAGATATTGTATCCACCTAAAACTAACAAATAAATAAATAAAAAGGGCTGGGGATGTAGTTCAGTGGTAAAGCACCACTGGGTTTAATCCCCAGTATAAAAAAAAAAAAAAATGACCTCACTGAGGCTGACCCCTACACAAGGTGAGGGAAATCTGACTACACCTTCCGTGATAGGAGTGCCCAAGAGAAATTTTAAAATTACTGCATGGAAAGTTGAGAACAGAGCAAAGTATGAATAGACTGGCTGAGCTGACAGCTCCTCTGCTGCCCACCCACATCCAGTCCTGAGCCCTGAACTTGGGCTTGATCCCTGCCAGTCCCAGTCTCGCAGAGGCAAAGCAGTGCCTGAACTTCAAATCCCACAGGAGAGTGATCATGGACTAAGCCTGCATCACTCTCAGATCTGAGTCCCAGCTCTACCAAACAGCAAGCCAGGACTTGTCCCCTCAATAGCAGGTCAGGAGTTGTAACAGTTCTCACCTTGAGAATTGCTCTGAGAAAGTGAGCTTCCATGTTTACCCACAACCGCTCTGTACTAAGTGCTCACATGCGACTCTGCCCGGACAAGCCTAAACTGGCATAGGCCCACCCCCTGGAAGACAAGTCCCTGGTGCACATTTCCTGGCAAAGATAGAATGTCCCTGGCAAGGACTAATTTATGTCTGGACAACAGCTGAGTGGGACTCCACACTCCATAGCTCTTGGAAACCTCAGTGGCCACCTTCCACCCACTCTGGTCTAGACTGTGGCTTCAGCAGTTCCTGTGGGACCCATACATGACCTGTTGGACGGTGTCCCCTTGTCGGGAGTCTTTTTTTTTTTTAGCTGTAGAAGGACACAATACCTTTACTTATTTGGTGCTGAGGATCAAACGCAATACCTCACATGTGCTAGACAAGTGTTCTACCACTGAGCCACAACCATAGCAACACAACTTCTTAATTTGTCTCTCATGAATAAATTATGATTTCATCTTTCCAGAAAATTGCCATTATCATTAAACTTAAAATTGATAGTAATGCATTTTTAAATTTCTTTTCCTATTTTTTGTTCAGTTTTGTGTTGCTGGGGACTGAACCCAGGTCCTTGCCCATGCTAGGCAAGCGCTCTACCACTGAGGTACACCCCCACTCCTTTAATTAGGTTTGACAGGTATTTCTTCTTTTTCATGGTATCAAAATCTTTAGATTCATAATTTTGATTTTGCCCATTTATTTCTGCATTTGCTTTTTATCATTTCTTTCCATCTACTTGTTTTTAATATTTTAAATTTCTTTGGCTACATCCCTAGCACATAATGTGTATCTGAAGAGTATATTGAATAAATAAATGAGTTTTCAAATGCTTGAGTAGCAGAGGAAATGGAAAAAGGATTGGTTCAAATAATAAAAGTACAATGGTCAGGATGTGATGAATCAGAGATGGGACAGGCAGGAGTTAAAGATGAACCCCAGGTTTGGCTCAGGTAAATGATTGTATTGGACTGAATGTGCTGGGACTCTGCCCTAGACTCACATGTTGAAGGCCTAACCCACAATGTGACTATATTTACACCCAGAGCCTTTAAAGAGGTAAAGCTAAATGGATGGGAACATCTAATATGACCAGTATCCTTTTAAAAAGAGACATGAAGGATGTGTATGCACAAAGAAAAGACCACATGAGGACCCAAAGAGAAAGCAACCATCTGCTGGCCAAGAGGAGGCGCCTCAGGAGAAGCCAACACTGCCAACGCTCTAATTAATCTTGGACTTTCAGCCTCCAGAACTGTGGGAAAATACATTTGTTATGTAAGCCATAAGAAACTAATAATCTTGGATGATGGGCATCATTTACTGACCATGGTAGGACCAGAAGATGGCAAGTAAAAATGCTAATTATTCATGTTGGTAGAATGAGCCAAAGATGGAGATCTGGATGTTATAAATGGAATTAGAGCTATGGGAATGAATCATACAAGCCATGGAGAAGAAAAATAAGGTCACAGTGTAACCCTAGGAAACATTCCCAACTGGACTCTAAAGAAAGAGGTGTCCTAAAGAAATTTTAGAATAGGCAGAGGAACCCAGGAAACTCGGGAGATTAGGGCCAGGAAAGCTAAGAACACCTGCAGTGGGCTCACCAGTCCCTCTGCAACACAAAGACCAAGCCAGAGGGAGGCTGAGCAACTCAGCAAGCTAGAGGTCAATGGGTAAGAAAATGATCTGGAGTTGGCCAGGTACCAGTGAGGCAGAAGCAGAGATAAAGTACAGACAAGTCTCAAGAATCTTAGTCACTGAACGGGAAAAAAGTTTGGTCATTAGAGGCTGGAAAGACACATCATATTCAGAGAGGGTCTCCTGAAGATGTGAAATTCTTCACCATATCCAGCCACTAGAGGCTGAGAGTGCAAGAGTGAAGACTTCTGGAAGAAAAGGTGAAGTGGATGAAGAGGCGGAGGCATAGGGAGATAAACTGTGCTCACATGGAAGCAGGAGTCTTTTCCACTGTGAAGAACAAGAGGTAAGGATGGATGAAGACGAGAAACTGCGAGAGACCCACCTGATATTCTCTATTTTTTCCTATGAAGTAAGGAAGTATAATCCTCACTGCAGTGAGAGGAGTGATGGGCTAAGCCACTGTCAGAGACAGTGACAGCTGTGGGGAAAGAGTGAGAGCTCACTGGAGACGCATAATGGATGCCTCCCAGCAAAGGCTGGTGAGAGCAAGCCCACAGCAGCCCACAGCAATACCGTCTGCAGCTGTGAAGTCTCCTCCAGCAAGGAGGAAAGGTTAAGTCACCAAACTGATTCACAGCTGGGGATGGGGGGATGGGGGAAGTAGGGAATGCAGGAGAAAATAAGGAAAGGATGGGCACAAATAACCCCAGGGAGAGTGTGGCCACCTCACCTTTTCCTTATGGACTTCATCCTTAACCAAGGACAGCAATTCTTATCCCTAATCATTAGACCCAACACTCCATTTTCATAATCAACAGCACCCATATTTATTGTCCCAAGGTCAAGTCAGTGACAACCTACTTAGCAGACGTAAGTTTAAAGATCAGAGGCCCCAAGGGTAGCATAAAGGAGATGTACGAGGTTTATAATGTGTATTCCAATCCACACATCTCAGGTGAAACTACAAGAACAGACTTTCTGAAGGAGTCAGATGCTCATGGCTCTATAGTCCCCGGGGGGGCCACAAGTGCATCCAGACTACCGAAGGAGTGCTACCCTTGACACTCAAATACCATTAGTAGTGTGATGGTTCCTTCAGGACCAGTAAAATTTAACCAACTACCACTTTTCTAAAAAAGTGCTTGAAGTCTCAGGCTGTTAGAGCAACTTGACACACAAGAACTGGAATGCTTGGTGGGGTTTGCACGACCCGGCACTTCAGAGATGCAGCCCACAGCAGTTCTCTCTTGGTGTCTTTGGTCATCCATTAACCCCTGACTCAAAATTTGGGGACAGGAGAATTGGCAGTGTCTTCCAATTTGGGACATAAGAACAGCCTGTATTGGCTTTGACCACCTCCCTAATATTACACAAGTAGGGCCCATAATGAATAATGACTCTTATCTGAACAAACAGTAAAGAGGAAAAGGAGTTTCAGGAAGCAGAAAGCTCTGGCTTGGGCCAGCCCCAGGCACTTCCCAGGCACTTCCATGGAGCTGATTCTGTTTAATATGGCAGCATCTTCTTCCCTAAGATGTTCCACTGTTGAGGACACCTCTTTTGAATGTTGCACATCTGCACATCTCAGTCCTAAGCTCAGCTGTCGCAGTGTACAAGGTGAGAAACTGCATGGTTTGGAGGCAAGATCTTTACTCAAGTCCCAGTGGAGCAATGGACCTTCCAGCTGAACCCTCTGCCCCATATTCTCTGCATCCTTATGAAGTGGCTGGGTGAGTCTGGGAAGCAGAGGCTGAGGCATGTGTGTGGTGGGGTGTCCATTAAAAGTAAGACAAGCCCTCAGAAGAACAAGCAGGGAGGGAGTACAGTCAGCTGGAGAGTAGACTGTAGGTTAGTCTTAACCTAGAATGTCAGCACAAGTCAGGATCTGGGAGTCCTCGTTTTACCACCTATCAGGGCACTTTAAACCTTTGAGTTTCTGCTTCATATGTAAAGTGAGGATGACCGTAATAATACTTACCCTTACCAACCTCAGAAAACTAGGCAGATAACTCACTATACAGGAAGACACTTTGTAAAGTCCTTTACTAATGTGTCATTACTATCACCATCTTCTCTTTAAGAAAGCAGCTCTGTAGCATGACACACGTCAAACCATGTTTCCTGATTTACTCACCAATGGGAAAAACAAGGATGAAAGGTAGCTTGCCAACAGTGAGTGTGCAAGTTTAGGGTCCAAAAAGAATAACTGGAAAAACCTATGAGGCTGGAGGATGTACAAAACAAGCCCCTATTAAGGTTTTTGAAAAATGATTCCCTAAACTTTCCCACAACGTGTCCCACTAGTTATGACCTGGAAGGATCTGGTGGTGAAATGAGTGTAGGCATAGGCTTCCTTCCCCAGGAATTCTCTATGACCTTAGCAATTAACTTCCAATGAGGATAGGGGATGCAGGGAGTGCCACGTTTATTAATAACAGAACCCCCTTTCCACAAGTATGTGACCAGGAAATCATGAAAGACTCTTTGGGAATTATACTTCTCTCTCTCATTGGGCACAGTGTTGTTTGGGCACAGTGTTGTTCGGGTACACATACCAACATGAAAGGGACATGAGAATACTGCAACATCTGCTGAACATTTTAGGAAAAGGAAAAACCCATTTTTTAACTATGGTAGCATCTTATTTTCCTGAACCACCCGACTCCCCACCCCTCCAGATCTACCAGCTATGTGACCCCACACTCCAGGCACATACATCAAATCTACACTTTTATTTTATTTTTTTTTTTTGTTCTAAAATGTGCTTTTTCCTCAATGAACTTTAGTATCAGTCCAGGACTTCCACCTCCCTTTATAAAAACAAAACAATACACACACACATACACACATGCCACCCTCCAACCAGGTAAAAAAAATCCCCGGCGATTAGTCTATAACAAATATTGACACAAGGGGAGAAAAAAGTATGTTGAAATGTATTAGAATTAACCTGTACAAAAAAAAAAAAAAAAATTAAAATATAACCTGAAACTGTTCAAGTTCAGAAAGTCTAGTCAAGTCCTTTTCTCTAGCCAGGAGTATGCTGTCATCAGAGGGCTCTGGATCACCAGCCAAGGAGGGGAAGGAAGGAAGAGAAGCAGCAGCAACAGTCCTTCACCAGACTAAGGGGCCCCGACACCACCACCCCTGCCATAGGGGCGGCCAAGAAGTGTGGAAGATCTTGGGAGAACAAGTGCTGGCAGACAGCCCCCGAGAGCAGCTGGGGCCTACACACCAAAACAAAGCTGAGCAGTCAGAGGCAGCAGGAAGAGTGGCCAGCAGAAGACACCAAGCTGGGAGAAACACTTCTGCCACCAGCAGACCCACAGCACCCTCTGTTTGTGCTCAGATACCAGAGGTTAGTCAGTCTAGCACTCCCAAATAACGAGAGATCCAAGCTGGGTTTAAGAGGCTGAAAACCCGAAGGTTTAGTAAACATCGCCCAGCATCACATCCCTCCACGGTTGAACTGGAGCTGCCAACAGGGATAAGGCAGGAGAGGGAAAACAAGCATGTGGGTACCTGGCTAGAGAGCGCCTGCACCATCATGGGGACTGTGGTACATGGGGCTAGAGAAGGAACGCCCCCTCCTTGCCCAGAGAGGAGCCTTCTCTGCAGTCATCCCTGTGGGCCGGTTAAAGCTGCCTTCGGCTTATGACCAGCCTGACAAAATGACATGGAGCAAAAGAAAACTGGCAGGGAGACAAGCCCATACAGAGACAAGAACCTCCTGGAGAGAAGTGGGCAGTGTCCACCCTGTTAGGATGGCATCCACGGAGCCCCTGAGTCTGAGGGAACAACAGGAATGAGGGAGTGGGCGGGGAAAGGAGTAATGGTTTTTCTGGAACGGTACCAATGGGTGGGGAGACGCTGGTGAGGGGATGGGCAGGTCTGGAACTCACTGTAGGTAGAGAAGGGAGGAAATAGGCCCTTGGTGTCCCCTCCCCACCTGACCCAGGCCTGGTGAGTGCCAGCTGCCCCAGCCGGTCCTAGTGGCGGCTGGAGACCAGACCTTTCACTTTGGACATCTTCTTGGTAGGCTGCCTCTGCTCAGCATGAGGGGGACACTCCCGCTCAGCAAGTTGCTGCTCCATTTCCTGAGCTGAAGAGGACGCAGTGGCTTTAAGTGTCTTCTTGATGTTGGTAACCTGGAGAGAGACAGAAGTGGATGTGAGCATCTAACATGTACAACAACTTGTTCTCAGTATAGTGAGGCAGAGAAGTAGCCAAAAATTGTCTGCAAGAAAATCTCCAATGATCTTCAGAAATCCAGGTGAGAAGAAACAAACACGGGCTGCTTAGGAAGGTAAACAGAAATGAGTCAGGCAAAAATGTGGGACCAGGCCTGGGGATGTATCTCAGTGGTGAAGCACTTGCCTAGTGTGTATAATGAGTTCCATCCCCACTACTACAGGAAGGGGGGGAATAAAGTGGAACCAATGCTTTCTTGTTTAAAACAAGTAGAAGTAAACCATCTAGCAAAGCAGTATGACCCAGAAGATAACAGAAATTAATGGTAAAAACACCCTTAGAAAAAGAAGGGCAAACCAGGCACAGTGGCGCATGCCTATAATCCCAGCAGCTCAGGAGGAGGACTGCAAGTTCAAAGGCAGCCTCAGCAACTTAGCATGGCCCTCAGCAACTTAGTGACACCCTGTCTCAAAATAAAAAATAAGTAAATAAAAGGGCTGGGGATATGGTTCATGGTTAAGTACCCCTAGGTTCAATCCCCAGCACAAAAAAGAGAAGAGCAATGGAATAATTCTATACTCAGCTAACTACAGGCAATGTATGAAACCAAATATTTCCACAAGTACCTTGGACTCCTCTTGAAAAAACAACTAGGGCATGAATTTCAACCAAATAATTGACAAAAGAAAATTAAGGAAAAGAACTGGCAAGTCTACTGTTTGCAACATACCTTTTTTCTGTTAACAAAGTAAGGGCTCAAAAATACCCAAGCAACATTTTTCCATGTCAACATATGTCCTCTTGAATATCTGTATACTACTGGGCTGTAAATGTTCTACCATTTAAAATTAGCTCCTTGTTTGTTTTCTGGTGTGGGGATAAATGGCCTTCTATATCTACTCTGCATACTTTGTGAACATCTGTGGAAGACATACTCCAGGACATGAGCTTTCTGGATGAAAGGGGTTCCACATTTTCCCAGAATCAGTATTGCTTATCTAAAATGCCCAGAGCCAGAAGTGTTTCAGGTTTCAGAGTTTGGCAGATTTTGGAATATTTGCATAGATTTTACCTATGCTCAAAAATTTCCAGATTTTGGAATGTTTCAGATTAAGGATGTTCAACCTGTACCTTCTGAAAAATGATGAAGCAATCCATGGAGCGTGTACTCCAGTGCAGTGCCTGTTTAAACGCCCATCCCCCAACACCAGTCCTGAAGGCTTTTACATTTTTGCTCTTCAGCTCATTGAAGGGAAGAAAACAGGGCTGGGGGTTATAGCTCAGTGGTAGAGCACTTGCCTAACAAGTGTGAGGTACTGGGTTTGATCCTCAGCATCTACAACTAAAAAACAAATTAAAAAAAAAAAAGGAAGAAAACATGAAGGAAAAGCAAGCAGAGAAGAAGGTGCTAGGCAAGAGTTCACTCAAATATAAGCCTTCTTAAAAAAAAAAAAAAAAAAAAAAAAAAACCCACACATTAGAAGGAAAGAGAAGGATGCTGCAGAGTAAGTGTATCTTTCCTGTTTAATAGTTTCCATATTCTCTGAGAAGCAGTAATTTGGTTTTCTACAGGGCAAGAAGGGAGTAGGCAAATCAAAAATTCAAAACAGTCAGAATATCAGGAGCTTGAGTAAGAAACAGTCCAAATGCAAATACCAAATAATGGCTATGAAAGTGAGAGTAATATTCAGTTCCAGAAGAGGAGCAATCATCTTCAGAGTCAACCAAACTCCACGGTAGGTGGGTATTTGTTGTCACTGTCATTTTGTGAAGTGGAAACAACCAAACCCCAAACTGCTGTTACTCACCATCATCTGAACCTTTCTGCCAGGAGAGTTACACAGGACTGTGGGCTGGGACAGGTAATACGGAACAAGGTCTAGGTCAAGTTTGGGTGTATCAGCTGTTCTGCCAGGCCGAACCCCCAACTCAGTAGCCCTCCCTCCCTTGGGCTCCCTGCCATTTCGGTGTCTCTGCTTCAGCAGTTACTGGTGGAGCTGGTGAGTGAAAGCATGGGGCAAGCAGGCATACCTCTCTTTCTTAAGAGAAAGATTTGTTAATGCCAGTTTAACTTCTAGGACTATTTTGATGGCCTTGAAGGAGAGATTTAAAAATATGATTTCTCAGGTATCACTGTTTTATAAAATAACATTCCAATGCTTCCGTAGTTTGATATGCTTTCTAAACATTAGGAGGAATATTAAAATCTTAAGAGGTAATGCATGAATTAAATTTGTTTATTTGCATGCCAGTCACCTCTGACTTCCACAATGTGAGAAGGTCCTGCAATGACAGTACCTGAGGGTTTATTTTGAGGTTTCCTCAAAAGCTAACAAAATTTTAATCAAGCAAGACAATAGTTTTCTATGTTGATTAAGATGTCTTGAGATTTACTGATAGTCTATTAACCCCTACATGAGTTAAAAAAAAAAAAGTAATCAATTTCCAAATAATGGTTATTTTCAATTACTTTGTACCTGTGTTTCTGTAGCATAAAGTCACTTCAAGTCTATCAAAAATTAATTAGTGCCAGGCTTTGTGGTACACACCTATAAATCCCAGAAACTTGGGAGGTTGAGGCAGGAGGATTCTAAGTTCTAGGCCAGCCTGAACAACTTGACAAGACCCTGCCTCAAAAGAAAACTTGTGGGCTCAGTGGTAGAGCATTCCTGGGTTCAATTCCCAGCTCCAGGAAAAGAAAAAAAAAAAAAAAAAAAAAAAAAGGTAAAAAGAAAAAGAATATTAACTAGTATCTCTCTTTTCTGAGTGGTCTCAGGGGACCTGAGCTAGCTCTGGACTATCTGGAGTATCTACAGCTCAGCTGAGCAGTCAGCCCCTGACCTGCCAGCCAGGAGCAAACCTTGTCTGGGCATATTCATTCCCTGAAGCAAGGTTCCCTTGTTGACCTCTGGGACTGCCCCCAGTGTTCTGCTATTTTACTCTTTAAGCTGTACATAGACTTGTTCTTGTCAAAGTTTACTACTTCCAGTGTCATGTCCTCACATAGGAACCCACAGATTCTCACTGCAGCTCCAGAGGAGCCTGCACACAGCCCATTCTCCTGACTACACCAGCACCCCTCAGGAGGGTGACACAGCCATTCCATCACAGGCAGCTCAATTTTATTGATTCAAGATCCTGTCAAAACCTTTTGAGCAAGAAACAGAACCAGAGCCACTCTCCCCTTCATTCCAATGCCTGCTTACCTTCAAACAGCTTTCACTTATGGTTCGTACCCACTTGATAAGCTGCTATCCTGGGTGCTTAGTGACCCTGGAATGCAAGGGACTTGACCCAGGAGAAAACTTGGTTCTTTCTTTAGTTTTAAACACCACTCAACCACTCAAGATCTGGTACCTTCTTTCCCTGCTCCTCAACACAGACTTTTCACTCCAGCTATATTCACTGTCCCTCCCCACCACACCAACACTCAGAAGCACTCATTTTATCTCTGCCTTTCACGACCCTGCAGCCTGGGCAAAACGCCTCCTTAGCTAATCTCCTTACCTGCCTGGAGAGTCAAGTGCCTCTTCCATACAACCTTTCCTGACCACTTCAACCCACACTGACCTGTCTGGAGTTTCCAAGCTGCTTTTGCCTGGCAGTGCTCTCACTCCATCGCCTCCTCTAGCACTGGGTCTCCATGTCTCATGCATACACCTCTCCCTGTACCAACAGGATTACCAACAAATCTAAGTCCTCCACAGTAGTTATCACACAGAAGCAAAATGTAAACACTCGGGGAAAGAAAAGAGGGCTTCTTGGGCAAGTATCTCTTATGTGCAAGAAACAAGGCCTGAGAACTCCACAAAGACAACCTCAGGAGGGGAAGTGCTGTGGCCCCCACACTGGGTGCTAGTGTGACAGATGCCCTGCTTGGACATCAGCTGTAGTGTTGGCAATTTTTTTTTCCCCCAAAAAAGTCTTGTGCATGCCAGGCAAGCACTTTGCCAGTCCTACCATTGGCATTTTAAACATACAGAACTCACAAAAAGGACTGCTAAGGCCAATCACAGACGCTCAGGGTTAAAAGGAATATTAGAGCCAGGTGTAGTGGCACACACCTATCATCCCAGAGGCTTGGGAGGCTGAGGCAGAAGGACTGCAAGTTCAAAGCCAGCCTAAGCAACTTATTGAGACCCTGTCTCAAAATAAAATAAAAAGGCTTGGGATGTAGCTCAGTGGTAAGAATTTTGCCTAGTACATGCAATGTCCTGTGTTCAATCCCCAGTACCACAAAAATGAAGAAGTAGTCAATTAATTTCTGCCAGGAGCTGGGCAGGCTTAAGCACAGAGCTCCTTCCAGAACTCCAGACTGGCCCTGCAGGTAGGTGCACCAGTTACATCTGTTTCAACCTCTTAGACTTTGAGATGTCTAATTCCTCTTCTATACAGCCCCATTCAATTGATGACAAATAGCCTCAGACTTGTCTTCCTTGGTCTAAATCTGACCCGACTCCTCCTGATTTTCCTCTTGGAGGAGCCTGGCTTACAGGCCACCCCACCCCACGTACCCACAGATGACCTAGAGTTTGTCGAGCTCTTCAAAACATGGACTTCAGAAATTTCCCAGTTAAGACACCTGCTGGCAAAAAAAAACCAAATGCAGCCTGGCTCTATTACAGACCTTAAATATTCAGGCAAATGGAGAGAGAAGAGCTTTCTGGGGCAGGAAAACTTCTTTCAGCTGTGGGGCAAAGCAAAAGCAGACAATAGGAAATAGAACCTACAGTTGGAAAATTGCTATAAAGAAAAGGAGCAGCAGGAGCTGGGTGCAGTAACACACACCTGTAACCCCAGTGGCTCAGGAGGCCGAGGCAGGAGAAACACAAAGACAAGACTAGCATAAGCAAATTAGTGAGGCCCTAAGAAACTTAGTGAGACCCTGTCTCAAAATTAAAAATATAAAGGGCTGGGAACATGGCTCAATGACAAAGCACTCCTAGGTTCAAACTCCAGTGCCAAAATTAAAAAAAAAAGGGGAAGCAGGAGATGGGAGACAGCCTATCCAGTAGGTACCCAAGACATACTGTCAGTGCCACTATACCAGTCAGAAAGCTCAAGATTTGTCACTGACTTAGCTCCTGGGGGATTTTCAACATAACTGAAAATAGAGCCTTCTTTAGCTTTATTACCTATATGAATTGAACACAGCCTATTCTGTAAATGTATAACTACAGCTATATATTAACATTCCACAGAACATCAGACATGGGCACATTCAATATAAAGAAAAATCTCTTCTAAAATCAAATGAGAGTTGCTTTGTGAACTTCCTTCCCCTCCAGAGCACTTTCTCAGAAACAATGAACTAGCTCATAATGTTACTGTTCTGTACCCCCAGACTTGCTGAAATTATAACTAAATACGTTATTTCTATAAAGAGCTAAAAGGAAAGAATATTTCTTTTTATAATTTTGTAATAGGGCTATCTTCATTCAGAGGGAAGGTTTTCTGGAAGGTCCAACTCACCAGAAGAAAGCTATTGTGAGATTTTGGGGAAAAACATTAAGTTTTGCCCTTTGAGAACAGCAGGACTTTAAGGACCAATAAAGAAAAGATCACCTGTGCTGTGATTGTAGCTCAGTATAAGAACGCTTGCCTAGCATTTGTGAGGCACTGGGTTCGATTCTCAGCACCACATACAAATAAACTAAAAAAAGGTCCATCAACAACTAAAACAATATTTAAAAAAAAAAAAAAAAAAAGATTACCCATCCAGTTAAGAAAATGGCTATAAATGGCCAAGGGTAACTGAAGTACAAAAATAAGCAGAATATAACAGAACTACCTTTGTTTTCTGAAGATCTGTTTTCTTTTCAACTCTGAGTGTTTGGTAAGCACCTTCCATGTGTCTCAAGCAGGGGATGATCAGCACCTACTCTGGGCTTCAGACCATGAACTAACTGAACAGAAAATAACCAGCCTCTGCGATTCACTCTCTTTTTTCCTATCCATCTGTTCCAAGTTTTCTAGAAGATTATTAAGTCAACAGATCATTTTAAATAGTGGTGGAGGTGGGCTTGGTCTTCTCAGATCTCTCTCAAACCTAAGTCTTTAGCGCCACCTAGTGGGCACCAGGCTTTACCAGCAGAGGTAGTTGTATTTTCCAAAAATGGGCTACCATGACAAACTTGCTCACTTTTTTTTTTCTTTAAATAACCATGATTTGAAAAGTATACACTGTTGAGTAAGAACAGAGCATGGTTCACATTGGCCCAGTGTCTACAACAACTCCATGTACACTTGCTTTTTTTTTTTTTTTTCCCAGAAAAAGGAAAAAGATTTATTACTTTGCTAGCAAAGAAGAAACACAGGGACTCCTGTCCCAGAGGCTATGATTCTCACACCAGCTTTTCTTCCTTCTGATGCCAGTCACTGAAAGTAACCTTGAACAGTTCAAAATCCTAAAACTAGCATCATTCGTCTTTGTCAGTGACCACAATGATGTCCCTTCCCTGCTCACTTTTCACCACCTGCCACAATCAGCAACAGTCCAGCACAGACAGGCAACCCGTGTCCCCTGCTAGCTTAAAGGAGGTAGGTTTTACCTAGGCTTCCCTAGGAATAGGTCTCCAAACCTTGTTTTCCTCAGAAATTGATTTACAAGGAAAAATAAAAAGAAAGGAAAGTGGTTAGCCTGTCCTAAGTTGCTCACATCTCAATCCTAGATCAGACAGGAGGTCATATATTCAAGAGGATGGTTGCCCAGCTTACTAAAGAAGTAGCAGGCTTAATTTCCTAATTGACTTTGCCTTTGCTAATGTTAAATTAGAAGTAATTTATCCTTCCTGGCTAGAAGTAGGATTTAAAAAGTACCATGAACTGAACATCCAAAGTGTATACACATGGGGAGGAGGGTATTTGAAATAAATTAGCACTAGTTCATGAAAGGCCTACTTCAGCAGTCCACTGACACACATATATGGAATACCAGAAGCATTCAGTTCAAAATCTGAGTACCTATTGTGGGTGAAGCAGAGAACAAGAGCCGGTTTTATGGAGATAAATAAGCACAGGTTTTCTTTTTAAGGTGTAGAAGACTCTCCAAATTCACAAACCCCTCGGTGAAAAGCATGTCTACTCATTTTTTATGTTCCTGAAACACCTGGAATTCTGAGCCCCACTATTAAAACACCTGATTTTTAAAACTCATTCAATACCATTGACATTTCAAGCCCCAGCCACACTAAAAAAGGACTTTAATTGCTAAAACAAACCAATACTTTTAATCTTAAGGGCTCCGTGCATCATACTGTAGGCACACAAATGCACAGAACACAAAAGTGAGAGCCTGCATCCATGCAAGAGATTCCAAGTGTCCTAGACAATAAGGAGGCATCACTAAAATCCCACTCACATCCTCTGTGTTTTCCTTTCATGCACAGAATTTTTCGCTTTTCTAGTATAAAACATCATGAAATTAAAAATGTTTGTAATATATGTATATAGTTGAGAGAAGAATAACACAAACACTCTGCACCTGCCATGCCACTTAGGCAGGACATTACCAGGCCTTGAAGCCCGTACCTCCTCCACAGCTGACAACCACCATCCTTTTAGCTTTCTTCTCCCCAGTGCTGGCTCTTTAACAGGTCCTTGTGCATACTTCTAACAAAAAAAAATTTTTTTTTGGGGGGGGAGGTTATAGATGGACACAATACCTTTACTTTATTTACTGATTTTTATGTGGTGCTAAGGATAGAACCCAGTGCTTCACACCCTCCAGGGAAGCACTGAGCTACAACACCAGCCTCCTTCTAACCATTTTTAAGATCCATTCCCAAATGTGTTTTCTTCTGCTCTATAGTTGCAAACACATGTATATCAGAGAATTACAACCTTCTCTGTAATCCAAGTCTACACACCCTCTACTGACCAAGAATCAGAAGATAAAGAGGATCAAGAGCAGGAGCTGTGTCCCACTATGTTTTCCTATGTTCCAGCAACAAAAACAATGCCTAATTGGGGGGACTGATTGTTTTAGCCACACCAAGGCTCACACAACAAAAACAAAAACACTACAAAGAACAGCCAGGTTACACCCTGGAGAAGAGCAAACATTCTCTTGCTTACCTCTGCCTCCACCTGCTGCTGAGTCCGGTGGTGGTTCTCTTTGTACTGGTTGGCTCTCAGAACCTGTTGTTCAATGCCCAGCAGAACTGCTTCACAGCCATCACACCTGTAACAGAGAAAACCAGCCCCAAGCTGCAAGAAGGCCCAGAACTCTCCCCTAGCCTCAGGAACCTCTTTCCTAATAAGTCTCCCTAGCACCTTGTAGGACTTCCTTTAACCTCCTCTGCCCTTGCCCCAGATTGTCCAAATAGGAAAGATGGTGATAAATATGGTGGCTTGTGTGTACTTTCTTGGAATACAGCTCTCATATCCAACTTCTGTAGACCATGGGAAATGTCTACATTACAGACTGTGGACTAAAGAAGGTGAGCAAGATTTGATAGGTTACACTAATCACTCTCAACAGGAGAAAAAAAAAAAAAAAAAAAATCCCCAAAAGCATCCTATTTGGGAGATTACCCCTTTCCTCAGAAGCTGACGTGCCTTTCTAATTGCCATACCCCTCCTATTGCTCATTGTTATTTTCTCCACTTTCTGTGTTTTGAAATTTTTAAAATAAAAAATTTTTTTGAAAGCATAGCACAATAAATATTCATATCCCCTCCATTTAAGATTCGATATTGAGCCAGACGCAGTGGCACACACCTGTAATTCCAGTGCCTTGAGAGGCTGAGGCAGGAACATCATGAGTTCAAAGCCAGCCTCGGCAAAGGGAGGCATTAAGCAACTCAGTGAGACCTAGTCTCTAAATAAAATACAAAATAAGGCTGGGGATGTGACTCAGTAGTTGAGTGCCCCTGAGTTCAATCCCTGGTACAAAAAATAAAATAAAATAAAATAAAATTCAATATTGTAAACATTTTGAAATTTTTGTGGGACCTCTCAATGTAGCAATTCTGTTCTAAATTGAATGTCAAACCTCAACAGAAGTTCTAAGAATCTTTCCTGGTGAACACTCTGGGCTAGGAGTCAAGGTACCACATCTTGGCCCAACATACTAGGGGCTTAAAACAGGAAACCAGGTCCTGGTTGTGAAAACCATACCAGCCATGTCAAAACTGGACTGGAACGGACAACTTTAGTAGGATCAGAAATCTAGATTTTGTTTGCTAGACCATTTTTTTGTGCTGTGGACATTTTATAAGTTTATTCTGATTTAGAAGTTTAACAATCTTTGAAAGCTCTTGCTTTTGTCATATGCTGCACAGGGAAGGAGTTTGGGGCCACACTTGGGACAGAACATAATGTGAGGAGTGGGAAGCACATGCCTGAGGTTTAAGAGTAGTGTCAATGAGGGAAACTTGAGGGGCATTAGACCTCAGGGATCAAAGGTGGGCCATTCATCCCTGAAAAGACTCCAGGGGATAAAATAGAGATCATTGGTTTTAAGGAAAACAATTTGCCTGTCCCTCTGCATGAAGCCTGCCTGCTTACATTCTCCCCTCACCTCAAATTCTACTCTACTCCTGGCCCTCCTTCAAAGCTCACTAAAACTTCTCTTAAGTCTACCTAGCTTTATAAGCCCTAAATCATTTAAATAACTCCACAACAAATCCTTGTAGAATGTGTGACAGCTCTTGCAAATATCACATTTCATTGAGAATATACAAATGTCCCAATTCTTTTTATATATCAGGATATAGTTATCAAATATTGTGCATGAGGCTGTGTTCCAAATTAGAACAACCCATTACTTACCCCTTACAGTGTTTCACAAATACCAGCCCAATGTTACTGACACTGAACAAAGGTTTCTTATCCAAAAAAAGAAAAAAAATCTTACAAAAAACTTCCTGAGCTTGGCCAAACTTTGAATCTACATCTGCAAAGTGCAGGACTGGCATCACAATAACTAGGATGTGAAGTTCTACCTGCTAGGTCTGGATATTTTAGAGCCCACTGTTAAACCACCCTCGGCTGCATTTAAGGCAAGAACAATCTTACAAGTGAAATGAGTGAAATGATTCCTGTTGCCACATATTTGTAATCACAAATCTAGCTCCACTATCTGGTTCACCCCAAGCCCTCAGCTGACTCCTGGTGATGATCACATTTTTGCCTGTAGACGCACAAAGGACAAGCTAGCTATCCCCCTTCTCATTTCAGCTTTACCATTCATGCAAGGTCTTGACAATATTATTGATATCCTTCTTGCGGATGTCACGGCCAATGCAGAAATCCACCTCTAGCAGCTGATTTCGCTGGTCCAGCTTGCCCTGGATGATGTCAGTGTAGACAGCCTCTATGATGAGGTCTTCTAATTCTCGGAGATTCCTCATTTCCAGATCCTTCAGCAGTACAGAGTAGGGAATACACTGTGGATAAGGCCATGTGATAGTTATAAAAAACCATCTGGCAAGCATTAATGAAAATGTGGGCATTACCCACATAGACAACAGCCAATTTTGGGCTCAGGTGATGCAGGTCAGTGATAATCATTCATGTCTAAAGCAACAAAAGTAGATGAATGAATCACAGGACCTGTGACAAGACCCTATGGCATCCAAGAAGGTGCCCTCTTTATTCTTTACATCCTAGACTTCACCCAGACTTCAGTTTTCACACCCTGGAGCACAGGGTGTGAAAGATGCCTTTCAGAGAAAAAGGAAACAGTGTGTGCCACGCTGCCACCTTCCAGAAGCTTGCATATTTTGCATACAATGCCAGATTATCATAAACCTCCAAGAGATCCCAGGCCCTGGAGAGAACTGGCTGCTTGCCCAGCAAAGTGCTATAGCAAAAAAAAATGTGCAGGCCATCACTTATTCCTACAGGTGGCCAGTGAAGACAGCCAGCAAAGATGGCACCTTAAGGTCTGTATCTGTTTTCTCAGATTTTTGCAACCAATGCAAATCCCCAACAAATCCTTTATTGGATTGTACCAATATACTGCATGCAAGGTCTTGACAATATATAAATATCCAGTTTTCTGCAAATCCTGCCACATTACTACAATTTGGAAATAAAATACAGAAATCAAATTTGTAGATACAAAGAAAAGAAAGATGCACACACACACACACACAAAAAATACAGCAAACACATCTAGAAGGGCGCTCCATGGCTAAGGGCATGCTATCCAGGGGTGATGGCTAGGCTTACAATAATAGGCTGCAGAAAGAAGAAAAGTCATCCTACCCTTAAACACTCGAGAAGTCCATGTGCAGGACTAGAAAAAGGTCAGGTCTTCATTTCCCAAAGTTGGACCCACTGGGCTGGTGATATAGTTCAGTGATAGAGCGCAAGACTAGTGTGCACAAGGCCCTGAGTTCAATCCTCTGCACCACCAAAAGGGATGGGGGGAGGGGGAGAGCCTTCTACTTAAAATGAGTTTCAGAAATTTGTGAATAGATCAGGTAAAATAATTTCAGCAACTGAAACAGCAGCCCAAGAACACATACATATCTCAAGTGCAATCAAAAATCAAACTTTTTCAAAAGCATATCCCCACAAAAACTTAGGAGGCTAGGCAAAGAATCCAAGTCAACTATAAATTAAATGAGTCTGGACTGTCTTTATTAATGGCTGGGAGCAGCTGGCTGCAAGGCTTCTTCTAAATCCACTGGAGCACAGAGCTCCAAAGTATGATGGAGTGAAATCTTACAGAAGGATAGAATGTAAAATTAGCATAAGAGGCAAAAATTCCAATTAGAATAATAACCTTGAAAATAATAATAATAAAAAAGGCTGGGGGTATGGCTCAGTGGTAGAGCATTTGCAAAATATGGGCAAGACCATAGGTTTAATCCCCAACACGGGGGTGGGGGGGGGGGGGGGGAGATCCAATATACCAAGATCTTCCTCCAACATGGGTATAGTTCACTGCACTGAGCAACAGAAGAAGTTGTTAACTTGCTGCAAGATACCCTGCTATTTGAAAAATATGTACCTTTCAACAGCAGTCTCCCTTTAACATGCCAAAATGCTCAGTTCACGTGAGGACCCATGGCATGCCAGAATAAGACCTGGTGATTCAGCCCCTGCAGGACATGTTTTTCCTGAACACAGGAATGAGGAGTAACTGTTTATGCCACCCGGTCACCTTTTCCTCTTTGCCAAGTAAATTTTATGTATTTAGGATACAACTCTACTGTGAGTAGGTGGGAGTTCCCTCATTGATGCCAATGAGACACCTGACTCTGGATATGGAGGAAGGCAGGGAAGGAGCTGGGACTGTACCTTCATTCTTGACGCCAAGCTCACGATGGTAAGATGTTTCAGCTTGTTCTGCTGAGCTGTACTCAGTTCTGGCAGGCTCTCCTTGTTGGCTGCTCAGTCCCACCCACCACAAAAACCAAGACACAAAATAAAATTAGGATATTTTATGGAATAAGCTCATCAACTCCCCACCAAATGTACTACTATATCACTGTCATGCCTCTGCATTTATTCACTGGGCAAGCATTCTATAAGCACCTCCCATCTCCTCTGAAAGATAATATGCTTCCAAAAAAGGAAAGACCAGTCTCTACACACAAGGAGTTTAGTGTCCTAAAACGCCAGGCACGAACAAACAAAATCTTCTTAAGTGGAATTATCTTAATGGAATACTGTCTGTGCTCCTTGTGACACTCATTTTAAGTTCAACATATCTTCACTGAGCATCTGTTCTATGAAAGGTGCTGTCTTAAGAGAAATCAAGGATGAATAAGATGGGCTTTGTCAAGGCTGCTGCACCACACAACTTCAGGAGCTCCAAACACCTACTGCTGTGCAACTTTTTGGCCCTGGACTTATCCTCAGTCTTATAATTCAATGTTTCACTAGCTACAAATGCAAAGCAGAGCTACCAGAAGAAGGATACAAACTTCCAAGAGAAAAGGGGAGAGGGAGGAATAGACAAAAAGAGGGGGAGAAGGGATAGAGAAGGAGGAGAGAGGGGGGAGAAGGGGACAGTGAAAACAATCTCATCTGGGAGGTATAGAAGAGAAAGAAAGGCAGGCTTCATGGAAGAGATGGAGTTTGAGATGATCCTTGAGAGATAAGCAAAACTTTAGTAATAGTAAGATTCACAGCAGCAATGGGGGAGGGCAGTAGCTGCAGATGACATACAGCACATACACATACAGCACACACGCACAGGCACACAGGCAAACATCCAGTTATCACAACAAACCCAAAACGGATTCCAAATGTCCTCAATCCCTTTACATAATTCTGGATTCCAAAGAGCTGAACCCAAACTGATTGCCTTTTTCTTAAGCAGGGTGCTGAAATTCATGTGGTGGCAGTTCCTGTCCTGAGGACAGGACTGAACTGAGGCTGGCTTTTATCTCACGTGTTATGAATATTTACTTATTTTGTTGCAAAATTATGGATGTGTTCAACTATAGATGCTGCCCACATCCTTCTTAGAATGTTACATGAAAAGGCAAACACATATTACCTTTTCAAAGTCCACCAAATTCTAAACTGTTAAAACATCTAGCCTCAAGAAGTGCAAGTAAGGGATCATGGACTTGTATTGTTACTCTCATTTTACAACTAAGAAAACTGAGGCACATAAGATTACTTAATTTGCTGGAGAGCACACAACTAGCAGAAGTAGAGTTAGAATATAGGCAGTCTGCTTCCAGAGTCTACAATGCTGCCTCCTTAGTAAGTGAGGACAGAAACAGGACACATTCACTGGAACAAAAGAGATTAGAAAAATGTGGTGTACCAAGAAGTGGCAAACTGTTCAGTCTGACAGCAGCACAGAATAAGGAGAAATGACCAATGAGAAAGGAGGGAAAGTGGAGGATAAAGTAGAAAACAGCTGAGTGTCAGTCTACTTTCATGTGAAAAAAAGCAAGCAAAAAAGAAGAGAGGAAGAATGAGAGGGTGCGAGGGGGGGGGGGGAGAGAGGGGAAGAGGAAGGAAGAAAAAGGAAAGGAAATCCAGGAAAAAAAAAAAAAGTGGTTTGGGTATAAGACAAGTTAGCATTTGGATATGCAAGTCCCTTATTCCTGAAACTTAAGATTCTAATTTAAAATGACTCAAATGGGGTGGGGATGTATCTTTGTGGTAGAATAGGAGATTGTGAGATGTTAAAATTGAGTAAATCCAGGTACAGTGGTGCACATCTACAATTCCAGCAACTCAGGAGCCTGAGGCAGGAAAATTGCATGTTTCAGGCCAATCTGGGCAACTTGGACAATTTAGAGAGACCCTGTCTCAAAATAAAAAAAAAAGGGGGGGTGGGGGTGGGAATTAATTCAATGATAAAGCATCCTTGGGTTCAATCCCCAGTACCAATAAATAAATAAAGTACAAACTTTAAAAATATAAAGACTTGTGAAGCAAATGAAGTTAAAATATGAAATTATATATATAATCTAATTACACCGATGAATAGAACATTCAAGCATAATGGGAAACAAGTCCAGCACTAAAAAGCTACCAGTACTTTACTGGAGGTACAACTATAAGTAACTTTTAAAATCTATTTTTCAAACATTCTTCAATATAGTATGTTATTTTGATAACATTTAAAACAATGAAATATTTTACAAGTGGGTATTCTGACACTTTATCACATACCAAGTGCCCTATGAACACTATCTCAAGAATCTCACCTGGAAGATAAACAAGGGCTTTGTTTATGGATGTTCATACACACAGCCCCTAGTTTACCTGATGGAAAATAAAAAGTGAGAAGGAAAATCCCTTTTGTGAGGTCACCTGCAGTAACATGATAACAGCCCTATCAAGAATTCTCCCATAAACACAAGCAACATTTTATCTAGAACCTCTATCATCCTCCAAATGGAGCGACATAGTTAAGTCTTTTGAAGGATCTTAATCAACTCACCTATATAATCTGGGTATGTTCCATAGGCAAACAGGTTCAGCAACTGCAAATAAGCAGCATTTGCTCCTTCTGCAAGCTGAGGAGGAAAAACAAATTTTACCACAGACCAAGCTATCTACCAATCACTAGAGTGCTTGAACAGAGGTGGGTGACTATGTGCCAAAGATGCCACAGCTGTTTATTCTGTACTGTTTGATACGGTGGCCCCTGGGGTCCCTTCCAACTCTTGATTCTTTGGGGAAAAAAAATAAATAAGATTATTAAAATCCCAAATTCAATCTCTCTTCCTTGGGATGACATTTTATTCTACACCTAGCATGTCCCAGTAGCTGCTTCTAACAGACAGACACAGACACACAGACACACACACACACACAGCATTAAGCACTGGAAGCAGTTCAACTTTTCTCAGGTCTCCTTTTGCATTAAAACAAAGACTGGGGGCTGGGGTTGTGGCTTGGTGGTAGACTGCTTGCCTAGCACACATGAGGCACTGGGTTCAATCCCCAGCACAACATAAAAATGAACAAATAAAATATATAACTTAAAAAAAAAAAAAAAAAAAAAGACTGGGCCAGGTGTGGTAGTGCATGCATATAATCCCAGCAATTTCAGAAGCTGAGGCAAGAAGATTTGAGTTCAAAGCCAGCCTGAGCAACTTAGCAAGGCCCTGAGCAACTTAGTGAGACCCTATCTCAAAATAAAACATAAAAAGGGCTGGGAATGTAGCTCAGGGGGTAAGCACCTCCAGGTTCAATCTCCAGTATCAAAACAAAGACAGTCCTGTCCACACAACAGTTCAGGAGGTTGAGAATCACTATCAACCCAACTGAACACAACTTAGGATCCAACTTTCAGGACCATATATGGACTATTCACCCTGGGAAAGAGTGGCATAGCATAAAGTGTGAAAGAAAAGCCAGACTAGGACAGGAAACCAGGATATCAGGCTTCCCCAAATAAAAATTTTCATTAAAATTACTTAGTCTTCACTGAAGACACTGTAGAAAAACAGAAGAACTACTACTCTGCCTGGAACTGCTCTGCTGTCAATTACCTTAACTGGATGCTTCTTTTACTACAATCAAGCACCTGTTACTCTTCCAATTTACCAAACTCAGTAATATCTAAACGGTAATAACAATACTACTACTATTCAATTTTAGTCATTTAAAAGAAAGTTCCAAAAGATTAAAAATTTAAAAAAAAAAGGTTCCAAGAACCATAATTTCAGACCACTGAAAGGCAGCTAGCTTATTCCCAGCTCACAAATGGAAAAACGCAAACTGTGGAGATAAAGGTGATCCACTAAGCATAAGAGTAAGAACTCTACCACTCTCTACCTCAGCCTACCTTCTAAGGTATTACAAACCTCTATAGGTCCCTGAATCAGTGTTGGAAGAGACCTGTAAAGACCACCAAATCTATTCCCCTTTTCAGAGAGACAGTTAAAACACTATCTGGAACAGACTATTTTCTCGAAAACAGATAAGGCCATAAGGTCTTGCCAGCTTTAATTTCCATGTATTTCCTCTTCACCAATCTTGCACAGTTTCAGAATCAACTGCTTGGCATTTTCATTCAGGCTTTTCATGAATCTAAAGGTCATGTCTTCTGTTGAAAAGTAAACCCAGTTCTCTCAAATCTTCCCAAAATATTAATTTTCCATCTCTGGTAAACTAAATATTCACTGAAAGTCTACTGTGTGTCAGTCTATGTATTCCACTCCAATAAAGTTATGGTGAGCACAAGTCTTTCTTATTCCCACAGAGCTTACAGCAAACAAGACTAACATTAAATAAAAATTTACAGTTAAAAAATACAGTGGCAGGGCTAGGGTTGTGGCTCAGTGGTAGAGCACTCACCTAGCATGCACGAAGCACTGGGTTCGATCCTCAGCACCACATAAATGTAAAATAAAGATATTGTGTCTACCTAAAACTAAAAAATAAATAAAAAATACAGTGGCTCTCTAGTCCCATTTCTGGCCAGCAGAAGAAGGGGAGACATATGCAGAATGGTCATAAGGAACCTCTCTACCTCCTGACCAAGAATTAGAAGTAGACATACAGCACCAAGCCCAATACCCTTAAGGCCCACTGCTGTGGTTACAATTGGCTATGGACACAGACCCAGCAGCTAATGGCAAAGGTGTCATGATGCTCATGAAGGTAATGATCCATCCAGCAAAAGTCAGCCACTTAGAGGGAAAACATACAGTTTTCCTACATACAGAACACCACCACCACCAAGAATACAAAGGCTACTCTCAGAAGCATCCAGCACATGATCTGCAAGAAGTACCACACCTGGATCTGCCCATAGTGGCCATCCTTTAGTCGGCGCCATTCTGCACCACCAGAAACCCAGGATGGCAAAGAGAAAGCGGACCTGCCACCAACACATCAAAGCTTCTGAGAGCTCCCTTCCAAAGCAAAAACATGCTTGCACATCTCTAAATAAAATATAAAATAGGGCTGGGGATGTGGCTCAGTAGTTAAGTGCCCCTGAATCCAAATAAAAACACAAGTGCCTAAAGTAGTGTAAGTTGCTTTCCATCTCTTTGTTCCACTTGGTCACTCTTAAAATATCTCATTTTTCAAAATTTAATATTATTTAAATTTAATATTTAAAATTTAAAATTAATATTTTAAAATATCACATTGACCAAAAAGAATACAACAATCAAACAAATCAACAAAGCAAAATGGAATACTTTCTTGCTTTATTTTTCTTAACTTTTTAACACATCCATTTTAACACAACCTTGACCTTTTCCACAGGAACAACACTTTCCTATTCATGCCCATCTCATGTTCAACACAGCAATAATTTTCTGCTATTATGTCCCTGACCAATCTTCCTTTTCTATATTGTGCTGGAGGATTTTTGTTCCTCAGAATGCCTGAAACTATCCCTATTAAACATCATACCACACTTATAGCACCATTTTGACTTTTTTGCTATCTTTCAGATAACTAGTAACCCAATCTAATTTTGCCCAAGGGACTAATATTGAATAAAAAAACCCAAGACATCATCCTTGATCTTTTCCTCTGCCTCACCAACTCCTATCACTCCTTAAATAGTACCCTAGAGGTACACAATACTTCAACAATGAAATTCCTTGGAAACCTAGAGAAGTCACAGAAAAGGCTTAGAGAAAAAAAACAGACCAATTATTTGGAAACTGCTCTTACCTCCTGCACATTGGCCAACTCCAGCAGCTCTCCAAAGACATACACTCCAGGAGCTTCCAACACCTGGCTTATGAGAGCAGTGAGGGCTGAGCCACTGGTACCTTTGGCTAATAAAATAAACTGTTCCAGAAGGTTACTTGAGGGTTTCTGTTCACCTGCCATTCTCTGACCTTGAGATCTGTCCAAAAGAAAGGTATGTCAGTCATTCTTCCTTCTCCTTTCCAAAGTCTGTATTTATTTAAAGCTGGACCAGACGCCAGAATAATTTTAGTGTTCATAAAGATAAAACAGCTACCTAGTCCAGATACAATGACCACTTTTTGAGATGGGTAGGGTTCAACCTGAAGTTAAGAGGATTTTGTCCTAACAATTTTGAGGTTTGAAACACACTTTGTCTAAATCACTTCCCCATATGTCCCTCTCCCAGAGGCATCCCTTATAGGCTCTTAAAGAGCAGGATGTGGTGGTGCACTCCTATAATCCCAGAGGCTCGGGAGGCTGAGACAGGAAGTCAAAGCCAGCTTCAGCAAAGTGAGGTGCTAAGCAACTCAGTGAGACCCTGTCTCTAAATAAAATACAAAATAGGACTGAGGATGTGGCTCAGTAGTCAAGTGCCCTGGGTTAAATACCCACTCCCCACCAAAAAAAGATTACCAGCCTAAAGAAACCCAGGAGTTTCTCCATACTTGTTTTATATCTACCTCATTTACAAATTCTGATTCAGAGACAAAGGATATTGCCCATAAACAGAGGCAACTCATTTCAGCTTCCTATGTGTTATCAGAATCTCATCTACAAAAACAAGATAAAACAGCTGACAAGAACCATATTTCATTTAATTTAAAAAGTAATTTAAGGTTTGAGGATGTAGCCCAGTGGTAGAGTGTATGCTTCACATGCATAAGGCCCTGGGTTCCACACCTAGCAAAACACACACACACACACGTTATTTAAGCATTAAGAAAGGAGAAAAAGCATTGTAAAAGATAAGCAACAATATATTCAAACTTAGAAAATACTGTGTAAGTCCACAGGGTAAATTCCTCTATTGATATGAGACATTTTAATAAACATAACTCAATATCTGTATAAAACCTCAATAATAACAGGATTTGGGAAAACAATGTGGATATTGTATTGCCATCCCTAAGACATCAGGTACAGGAAGGCCCCTCAATTTTGTAATCTAATTACATGTTGAGTGTATGTGGACACACAACATATCTACTTGAGTCCCACATAAGCAGAGATTTGTCCTCCATAAATGATGCAAATCGGGGAGTATGACAAAATGAAGGAAAAGAGTTTTGTATAGTAAAATAAAGAAAAATTTACAAAAGCATAACCTGGTTAACAACAACAACAAAAAAAAGGAACACTTTTACAATGTTGGTGGAAATCAGTATGGAGGTACCTCAAAAGACTAGGAATGGAATCACCATATGACCCAGCTATACCATTTCTCAATATTTACCCTAAAGAATTAAAAGTCAGCATAACTACAGTAACACATGCCGACCCGGTTTATAGCAGCACAATTCCAAACTATGGAACCAGCCTAGTTGTCCATCAATGGATAAACGGATAAAAAAAGTATATACACACAATGGAGTTTTACTCAGTCATAAAAAATGAAATTATGTCATTTGCAGGAAAACGGATGGAACCTGAGATTATGGTAAGTGAAAAAAGCCAAACTCAGAAAGTCAAAACTGTATATGTTTTCCCTCTAAGTGGAAGCAAGAAAGGAAAAAGAAAGGGTGGAGGGGTGTCAAAAAAAAATCCAAAGTAGATCAGAAGAGAAAAGGGACAAAGGGGAAGGAGGAGGAGAGGGAAAGGGTAAATACCGGGGAACCACAATGACCAAATTATATTGTTTGCATGTACAAACAGGGCACAATAAAACCCACCACTATGTACAACTATAATGTACCAATAAAAAATACGGAAAAAATTTAAAAAATAGTTTGGTACAAGAAAAACTTAAGCTTTGTGGAGTCAGGCATACAAAGCTACAATCCTTTCACACTATTATGTTGCCTCACTTAGCATTACCTAAAAAGGTCCTGCCAGAAAAAGAGAAGTGTTAAGAAATGAGTTCTGAGGAGACAAGAGGAAAGGGAGGAAGGGGTGAGATGGCGGAGAAGAGTAGAGGAAGGTAGGTGATGGTGGTAAGGAAACGAGAGGAAAATTGTCCTTCCACGTGGACACGTGTAAAGAGACAGGTGGGTATCTAAGCAAAGAGTAAATGGAAGCAGCTGGGGTGGAAAGGAGGTAGGGAAATGGGGAGAAACTTCGGTGCATGCAAAAGATCTCAGCCTGAAGCGCACGGTGTGTGAGGGAGAGTTTAAGAAGACGGTGATAATCGTTTTCTTCTGGAGTCAAAGGCCCCCTAGGACGCTAGGGACCCAGCGGAGGTGAATTCCCAACAGCGGAGGGCGCTATTTTGATGAACCGGAGAGGGGCAAAGGGGTGGCCTTTGGGGGGATAGGGCAGCGAAGATATCCACAACGAGGAAGCTGAGGGCGCAAGCTGGGGTGGTCCTCAGGGTGGCAGCTTGCTTCAGGCAGGGCCGCTGGCGTGGAGTGAGGAGCCGCGGGGCGCGCTCCTGGGGCGGGGGCGGGGCGGCGTGGCCGCGGGTTTCTCTGGCAGAGGCCGCCAAGCCGGAGGTCTAGACGAGCCTGGAGCGTCGGCCCCGGCGCGGCCTGCCCTTTCACCGGCCCCTACCTGTCCCTGCCGCCTCTGGGTCCTCTTCGTTGCTGGCTCGGCCTCCCGGCGCCTGACTGCAGGTTGTCAAGCGTCCATGATCAGTCCGGCGTCCGGCGTTTTTCTATCTCCGCCGACCCGTCGACCGTGCGGTTCCCCCGGAAGCCTCCCACCGCTGCACTCAAGTTCCGCCCACACAAGGTTCCCCGCGCTGAGTCCACCGCCTCTGATCTTCAGTTGGGGCACGGCGAGAGAAGAGGGTCCTGGATGGGCTGCAGCCCGGGAACCGCGAGGGGAGGCGAGTGGAGAGGGGCTCCAGGAGAAGAATGCGGCCTAGGTGATATGGGGACCCAAACCATAGCCGCCGCCACCACCATCCTGGACCCGAAACTCATCCCTTTGGCTGAGCTTTACCCCAGGAGCTCCCTGTGGCAATTGCAGCTACCCCTAGGAACAGTGAAACATTAAGCCTAAAAACAACTACCATTTATTGAGCATTTTTTTCCCAGGTGCTTTATATGTATTACCTTGTTGAATTCTCATAACATCATGACCTGTAATCATTTCATTTTTCAGGTAAGCTAAAATCTAAAAGTCCAAGTGCCAAGCCTACTTTGGAATCCGGACTGTCTGAGCCAGAGACCATGTTCTTGATCTCTATTCAGAATAAAATAAGCAGGAGATGGCTGCAGCCAACAACAATAGTTCTAAAACTAAAATGTCATTCGTGGCATTGCATTTTTGTCAACCGACTCCCCTAAGAAGATGGCTAAGAAATGCCACATAACTGAACGCTTGAACTAATTTTATTTCAATTTTTTTAAGTTGTTGATAGACGTTTATTTATTCATAAATATGTGGTGCTGAGATTTGAACCCAGTACTTCACACATGCTAGTCAAGTGCACTACGGCTGAGCCCCAGCCCCAGCCCTCGAACTGATTTTTTTTTTTTTTAAGATTACATGACACAGATCTTCAGGTCTCAAAGTCGAGGAAAAGAGCCCCATTTACTTACTGTGCATTATAGTGCAGAAATCAGAACAATGTTATAGAGTCTAGCCCCAACCAATTCATTCATTTACTCAAAAAAATTAGTGCCTATTATGTTCTAGAAGGTTACATAAAGTTAAAACAAGGTTCTTGTACTCAAAAAGCTCCAATGTATTAAGTGCTACGAGATGAATATGATATAACTTTGGAGGCACGAAATAGATTTGGAAAGGAAAAACAATCATTTTCCAGGCAAAAAAAAAAAAAAAAAAAAAGCAGAAGAGGGTAGTGACCATAATCACAGAGACATGCACTGTGCAGCATACACTGATGCAGAAAAAGAACCAAGAGTGGCTGGAACCCAGGTTTCAGGTGCGGGAAATGAGGAGCACAAAGCTGGAGCCCAGTCATCAAGGGTCTTGGAATTCACATGCCAGTACTATACACAGTAAAAGTCTAAATACAGCAAAGTTCCCACTCGGAGATCTCACAGCCCCCTGGGGGAACAAATATGACTCACCTCACTGTGGCCTTGGGAAGGGTGATTAAGGATGGGCATCTGGAGGAGATGAGGCTTGAGTTAAGTCAGGAAAAATGAATAAGCAAATCAGAAAGGACAAGTCAAGGGGTTTTTAGTTTATCTTAAGTGCACTGAATAACCATTTAAGTTTCTAAAGCTGAAAATAGGAAGAACAGTCAATTTAGAATGGTTGTACTAGGTAGAACAGGAACTAACTATGTGAAAAGAACTGGAAGCAGATGACTTATTTCAGATATGAGACTATAAGATCTTAAACAAAGGTAGTAGCAGTTGGAGATGAAAAAGGAGACGTTGTTGGAGACATTTAGACTATAATACCTATGAGACTTGGTGACCAGTTGAATGCAGGGAGAGGGAAGGAGGATACCCAGGATTCTGGCCCAGGAAGCCAAAGCTGTCTGACAGTGATGTTAAAACACAGCAACGAAGGATGAGGGGCAAGTTTAAGGGTGAGAAAGACAACTGAGTTCAATTTGAGCTTATAAATATTCTGGCAATCCCTCTGCTTCTTCCAGAATAATGTCCATACTCCAGGGCTCAGTTTAAGTCCTTTGCAGTATGCCTTCCTTCTAATATTCCAGCTTTGCCTCACCCCACTCCCTTCACAGGCCTCTCCACTCCAGGCCTTCCAATGCCCATCATGAATTCAAACAGGCCTGTGCCCAGGCTTGTTTTAGAGAAAGCTTTTTTTTTTTTTTGCCATATTCTTCTCTCACATTTGCCTGTAAAAATCCTATTAACCCCACAGCCAAAGCTTTCTTAAATTCAATGCAAAAAGTGTTATATAAACACTAAACTATTACACTTCATTGTAATTAAGAATTTCTGTTTCAAAAGACACCAGTAAGAGTGAAAAAACATGCCTCAGCAACTCAGCAAGGCCTTAAGCAACTCAGTGAGACCCTGTCTCTAAATAAGATACAAAAAAAGGCTGGGGATGTGGCTCAGTGGTTAAGTGCCCCTGAGTTCAGTCCCCCTTACCAAAAAAATTAATAAGTAAAAGTGGGCAAAATACTTGAACAGTCACTTCACAAAAGAGGACATTCAAATTGGCAATAAGCATTCTGACACAGATGCTCAGTGTCAGAAAAATGTAAATAAATACTTTGATGAAATGCCATATTTAGCCAAAATTGCTAACATAAAGACTGACAACAGACACCCTGTGTCAGCAAGGATAAGAGGCAACTAGAACTCTCTTATACTGCTGGACAAGGCACTTTGGAAAACTGGCAATATCTCTGTTGCTGATCACATACATACTCTACAAGACAGCGACTTCTTCCCTAGAAATGTGTGCTTATGTCCACAAGAAGAAACAAAGGTTCATATAAGAATGTAGCTTTGGGGCTGGGGTTGTGGCTCAGTGGTAGCGTGCTTGCCCAGCATGTGTGAGGCACTGGGTTCGATTCTCAGCACCACATAAAAATAAATAAAAATAAAGTTCCATTGACAAATAAAAGAAATATGTTTTTTTAAAAAGTATTTTTAAAAAAATAATGTAGCTTTGTTAATAACAGCCAAAAAATGATAGCAACCCAGATGACTATCAACAGATCAAATAAACTGTGATCATATGGCATACTACTAAGCAAATGAAAACAAATTAAAAAAAGGTATATATACCAAGGATGAATCTCATAAAAAAAAAAACCAATGAACAAGAAAAGCCAGATATATAATGTACACACCGTATAAGTGAAATTCAAGTACAGACAAAATTACCTATGGTAATAAAGCCAGAAAAGTGGTTATTTCCAGATGTGTGAATGTAGTACAGATTGAGAAGGGGCACAGTGAATGCTGGAAACATTCTCTATCTTGATTTGGGTGATGGCAATATGGGTGTATACATATGTGAAAAGTCTTTCTCTACTGTTTTATCTCATTGACAAAAGCATTTAAGGATAAATTTTTTAATGTAGGAAAAAATCCATCCTTCAAGTTCAAATGCCACTTCCTCCATAAAGTTTGTCAGTGGTTATAAATCTCTCCAGCAGGACCTCTGTGGCATTCTGATGTTATTTCTTTTATGCATCATAATCCAACTTGAATCTCAATGGAGTCTCCTTATTTCCCTAAATCAATGGTTATCTTCCTAGTGACAGTGATCATGCCTTTCACCTTTTACCCACTCAGTGCCTGACAAATGACAGAGCTGAAAACATGTTTGTTGAATTATATGGAAGAAAAAATTGAATGTGTGCTCAGATGGGTGAGAAGAGGGAAAGAAAGAGGAAGACAAACCTAGGAAAGGACAGAGGAGATCTCCAAGGAAATTGTGGCTTAAATCAATTCTACCTACCTCCTGAAATCATGTTAAACATCTTCATTGAGTGACAAAGAAAGAACAAGTCAAAACATGAAATCCTACCTAGACTCAAGACAAACAAATATCACACTTCCTCACTTGCAGTAAATTTACTAAATAAATGCTTACCTAATTTCTGGATGTTTCAATCCTGGATGAAGGTTGATTTCCTGTTCATCAAGAATAACAATCACATTGTCATACTGCTGAAAATATCATCTTCCTAGTGGAACCCACACTCCGGGGTCAGCAGGCTTAGAACTGAATTCTAATTCTGTCCTAACTTGCTAGAACTGTGGCCAACATCTCCCCTCTCTGGGCCTCAACTTCCTCATGAGTAAAAACAACAGGGATTGGATTAGCACATTCTTTAGTGCCCCTTCCCGTACTGATATCCCGAATATACACAATCGGTAGATTTCCCAGTTCAAAGAAGGAATAAACCAGAAAACCCTGCGAAACACTTAAAAGACGTCCCAAACAAACGAAGACGATTTGAGGAAATCATTTTGTTCCACAATCTTTCATGGTTTAATCAGTTTTTGTTTGTTGTTTGCAACCTTACCATGATTTGCAGAAGACTTCTGAGTTGAATATAAACAGAAGTTAATTCTCTGTGGGTTGTCATCTTCTTGTGAGAATGAAGTGGGTCTTCTCGTCTGTTTTAAGTCTCGGATTCAGAACCCACCATCCCCGCCTGCGAGATTCCGAATTTGCGCACACTGCGCGGCACACCAGAGTCTAAGTTAGAAGAGCGAGGCGCGCGGCATGCTGGGATTTGTAGTATCTGGCCTCTCGGCGGTGCGCCGGGATCTGTGGTCCCCAGGCGCGCCCTGGAATGCTGGGAAATGTAGTTTCCAATACTTCGCACTGGGCAACCTGCCGTCGTCTCAGACCGCTAGTATGCCAACCAGCGAGAGCAGGTCCCTGGAGTCTGCAGATCTCAAGCCAACCCTCCGCTGGGGCAAACTCTAGGCAACAACATCGAGTGAAATTTTTGTCCTACGGGACTTCTTGGGAAGGGCCTTTACCATTGACGCTCTCCGTCCCCCCTGCGAAGCCGCTGAACATTTCTATTGGCTGGCCAGGATGCCAATCGCCGAGACGGGTTTTCCATTGGCTGCGGGGCGGGCGCTCTGAGGCTAGAGGGAAGGAGAAGGGATCAGGAGCGGGAGCGAGGGGGAGGGAGAGGCCGGTCAGTGTCTGGCCGCTGCCGCTGCTTGCCCGAGGTCTCCAGGCCCGGCTGCGGCTCCTTCCTCGACTCCTGGGCACGGTCTGCGAGGCTCCGCCGGCTAGTGTGGGAGAGCCGCGGGCGGCGGCCGCCGCATCATGTCAGCCAAGGACGAGCGGGCCAGGGAGATCCTGAGAGGCTTCAAACTGTATCCGCCCGGGAGCGGGGCGGGGCCGGGAGGACTTGGGAGGCGGCCGCTCCCTGAGGAGACCTGCCGGGGCGGGGGCGCCCGGTGGGCACCCGAAAACAAGGGCAGCGAGAGCCGCCAGGAAAGGAACGGCGTCCCGGGCCCCGGTGGGACCAGGCGCGGGCGGCGGGCGCAGGGGCAACCTGCGGGAGGAAGGGGACGGTGACGGGAGCCTCAGGGGGTGGAGGCGGAGGAGTCCCGGGACGGGCTGCAGAGGCTCCGGCGTCGGAGACCGGCGTCCAGCAGGCCATCTGGGTTCGGAGCTCCGGCCGGGACCCGGAAGCCGGGAGGGGCCGCGGGGGCGCGGCGGGCTGGCCTCGGAGACTGGAAGCGTCTTTGGCGGGAAGCCCACGGGGGAGCAGGGAAAAGTGACTCTGAGCGAGTGACCTTGTGTTTGACAGATGCAAAATGCTACGTTAAACTCTGTCAGTCCCCACCCTACTCCACCCCGTCTGTTTCCCCAACTTCTTTCCCTCACTTGTGGCGTCTCGCAGGGCTGTAGTAGCCGAGGAAAGTGGGGAAAGAGAAATTATTAACTCTCTCGGCCTTTAGAGACGTTGGGTGGTCACTGCTTCTCTCAGCTCAGTTTTCGTTCCAGCGAGATGAGTGAGGACAGGACGGTGAGCTTGTGTGCGGGATGCCTTGAGGTACTCTGGTTTGCACTGAGACTTCTGGTAAAGGGAACTTCGGGCTGGCATTGGTGTGGCTGCGGCTAGCTGTGGTGGAGCTGTCCAGCAATTGTTCGATCGTGGTGAAGACCCGGTAGGTAGGACGTGTTAGGATATGGAAATCATTGCCTCGGGCCTGTTGTGCCGCTTTTGCATCCTGCTTCTCCTTCATATAGCAAGGAAGTTTTGTTTTTCAATGGAGTGTTAGTCTGTCACCCTAAGATACCGACAGAAAAATACGATCTTGTGTATTCCAATTTTACGATCTCCCTCCGACCTTAATCTCTTCTTACATCCCATGTCTACAGTATAGACCGGTCTTAAATTCCTCTCTTAGTGAAATGCAGTCATCCCTTCAGGGTTCCTCCCCGCAAAGGTTTAGTAAAGCACTATTCTCTGAACTGCCTGTTTCCTCCCCAGGAAATTTTAACTGCTTTGTCATGTCAAAAACCAAGTTGGTAGTAAATTTTAGGATACAATGCAAAAGTGTACACAGGATGTACAAATGAAATATTACAAATGAAAACTGACCCACTATACTTTTTTTGAAAAACTGAAAGCTGTATCATTTTTGTATAGACTGTCATATTTGTGATAAACTTTCAGTACTTTAATGTAGTGAAGTTTAGTAACTGACTTTTTCATAGTTCCATGTATCTTTTCTATTTCTCTTCATAACAGAACCTTTAAGTAGATAAGGATAACCAAAGTGTTAGAAAGCTATGGCATGCCAGGTAAGGTGGCACAAGCCTATAATCCCAGTGAATCAGGAGGCCGAGGCAAGAGGATCCCAAGTTCGAGGTCAGCCAAGGTAAAACACCCCTAGGCTCAATCCCCAGTACCAAAAAAAAAAAAAAAAAAAACCCCACACCCTATGGCATGATTTTATTTTATTTTTCCCTTAAGCTATTTACATTATTTAAGTTGTTTATATTGTTAAGTGATTTACATAATTATTTATTATGCTATAAATGGTAAATTAGATACTATGGAGTACTGAGAAATTTCGGAAGCAAAATTTTTGTCTAATTGTAAGTAATATATTACTGAAAAAAAAGAAATGTTTTCAACACATTTTTTTTTTTTGAGGGGGCTACCAGGGATTGAACTCAGGAGCACTCAATCAATGAGCCACATCCTTAGCCCTATTTTGTATTTTATTTAGAGACAGGATCTCACTGAGTTGCTTAGCACCTCACTGTTGCTGAAACTGGCTTTGAACTTGTGATCCTCCTCCCTCAGCCTCCTGAGCTGCACAATTACAGGCATCTGCCACCCCACACTGCTAACAACAAAAGGTTTTTGAACATGACAAAAAAAGGAAAGTTTGAACTTCTTACCTTCCATCTTGGCTCTTGAACCTGTTCAGAAAGATGCTAAGGGGCAAATATGAAAAAGAGTAGAAAACAGACCTGTTGTTAGTCCACTAGAAAATAGAACTGTGTTAGCCCACTAGAAAGAAATGTGAATTAATCAATTTCATGATGGTGTTAGTGCATCAAGAAAGTTTGACCTGAATTGACTGAATCCTGAAGCACAAGGGAAGCAAGGCATATAGAAGTGTGGGAACAAGAGAGTGCCCATCCATCATACAGTGGCCTTTGTTGATGTCTGAGGATTAAGAAAGAAGAGGCAAACAGAAACATTTAAGATTTGATCCTACTTTCATGGAATAATAATAATGTGTTAGTAAGAAACCACAATTATTGTCCACCCATTATTGGGTAAATGTGGTTTACGTGAACTTTCAGAGTGTCTGTTTCTTTAAAAAATATATATATATCTTTTTGTAGTTGTAGATGGGCAGCATTCCTTTATTTTATTTATTTATTTATTATTTGGTGCTAAGGATCAAACTCAGTGCCTCACACATGGTAGGCAGTCCACTACTGAGCTACAGCCCCAGACCTTAGTGGGTGTCTGTTTCTGTAAGAATCATTTTTGTTACTTTAAAAAAAGGGAAAATACCCTTATGTTCTCTCACCAACAATGTTGACAATCCTCAATTTTCCACATTTCCTATGTGAATCTTAAATTTTTGCAAATTTGGACAACAAATGGTATTTTGCTTTAATTTGTATTTTCCTGGATCCCTAGAGAGTATGGTATAGTGGTTAAAAACTATACTGGAGTTTACAACACGGTGCATACCTTTAATACCAGCAATTCAAGAGGCTGAGGCAGGAGATTGCAAGTTTGAGGCTAGCCTTGGCAATTCAATGAGACCCTGTCTCAAAGTAAAAATGTGGTAGAGTATGTCTGGTCTCAATCCGCAGTACCCCCCCAAAAAAAAACTAGGTCAGGAAGCTGTATTGTCTGCATTAAAATTCTAGTCCGCACTCCTAGTTGTGTGTCCCTACACAATTTCCTTAAACCTCTGCCTCAGTTTCCTCATGTATAAAATAGAGATGATACTAGGACCTGACTCTGGGGCTGTTGTGAGATTAAATGAGTTGATACCTAAAGCATTTTGAAAAACACTTGATGCATAGTAAGCATTATGTGTTGGCTAATATTATTACTGTTGTTATTAGAGAAGTTGCAAGTCTCATATTTGGTCATTTCATTTTCTTTTGTGAAATTCTTGTTAATTTTGTTTTTGCCCATTTGACTTATTTTTCTTGTTGCTTTGTGGGTGTTCTTTTTATTTATTTATTTTTTAGTTGTAGTTGGACACAATACCTTTATTTATTTATTTTTATTTGGTGCTGAGGATGGAACCTAGGGCCTCGCACATGCTAGGCAAGCGCTGTACCGCTAAGCCACAACCCCAGCCCTGTGGGTGTTCTTTATATATTTTAATATCAGTCATTTGCCTGTTATGTTGCAAGTACTTTTTCTCAATGTAAAATGGTCTCCTTTTTTAAAAAAAAAATTATTTTTTAGGTGTAGTTGGACACAATGCCTTTATTTTATTTACTTATTTTTATGTGGTGCTGAGGATTGAACCCAGGGCCTCACATGTGCTAGGCGAGCACTCTACCGCTGAGCTACAACTCCAGCCCCAAATTGTCTCCTTTTTTCATTGAACAGAATTTTAAAATTATTATTTCAAATTTATTAATATTTTTCATTTGATTCTGTGGTTACTTCATCTTTTCCCCATTGTTTTGAAATGCTGCCTTTGTTATAAACCAAATCTCCACAAGACATGGGTTTATTATAAATATTTCTGTTTCATTGATCTATTTGTCTTATGCCAGCATGCATTTTGTTTAATTATAGCTTTATAGTATAATTAGTATAGTTTATAATAGAAAGAATTGGTATGTCATAAACAGAGTATGTGTGTTAAAGTCATATTATGCTGGGTGCAGTGGTACACACCTGTAATCCCAGCTGAGACAAGAGGATCATGAGTTCAAAGCCAGACTCAACAATGGTGAGGCACTAAGCAACTCAGTGAGACCCTGTCTCTAAATAAAAAATACAAAATAGGGCTGGGGATTTGACTCAGTGGTTGAATGCCCCTGAGTTCAATCCCCGGTATGAAAAAAATAAAAAAAGTCATATTATAAGCTCCGTATAAATATTGGTGTTCCTTTTATTCACACAGAATCTTTCTCTGTAGATCTTCAATGAGTGTGAATATCATATTGCATAAATCAGGTATAGTCTGAGATAATTCAGTATTTGTGTGTATCTTAAGTTATTTCAAAAATAAAATATTTGGGGCTGGGGTTGTGGCTCAGTGGAAGCGTGCTTGCCCAGCATGTGTGAGGCCCTGGGTTTGATCCTCAGCACCACATATAAATAAAAATAAAGATATTGTGTCCAACTAAAAAATAAACATTTAAAAATAAATAAATAAAATGTTTTGCCACGCGTGGTAGTGCATGCTTGTAATCCCAGCTACTTAGGAGGCAAAGGCAGGAGGATGGCAAGTTGGAGGCCAGCCTGGGCAATTTATCCAGATCCTGTCTCAAAATAAAAAATAGAAAGAGCTCAGTGGTAGAGTACCCCTGGGTTCAAACCCCAGTACCCCCAAAAATAATATATTTGTAAGATTTCTTTCTCATATCACTTCCAGCCCATCCCACCCCATTCCTTTTTAATTTGTACACATCAAAGACTCGCATTTCTCTCTTGTTGTTAAATTATAAATCAAAGTTATGAATGAAATGTTACTTGGGAAACAAATGTGATTGTTTTGTGAGTTTTGGATTTGATAATTTTAAGCAGCTGATATAGAGATTGTGAGTCCCACAGTTTCCCATTTCATTCATTAAACAAGACTATTGGGTGACTGTTATGCATAGGGCCCTCTGTACTTGAAAGGATATGAAAATGAGT